ATATGTAAACACAATCAGCAAAAAATATAGTTGGATATTTTTGCTATGAAATGTCTTTGTATGTTTGGATTTTAGGGGAAAGATTAATGGGTAAAATTCTTGTGAAGACAGCTCTGACTTTATGTGTAATGATTTCCTCTTTACCTTGAGATGGTTATCTGTTTCAGCTAAATAAAACTATGGTAACTTACTTTCATCATCAAACAGATTTTCAGTTGCTGATAGCAACCTCATCCTGTCTTCCGGGTTTTCAATGTTCAGTTCAACCAAATGACTTTCCTTTAGATCTTTTAAATCTTCCAGGGTTTCATAACCATTTAGCAAAAATGTTGAAGTATATTCCTAGACAAAAAAAAATAATTTAACTATATATGCTTTTGTATGTGTATGTATACACCTCAGTTATAAAGCGTCACACCTCTTATCCACAGAACATGCAGAATCTGATTATAAACTGTATAAAAATGATTTTGGGGGCTTTGGTAAGAGCCATAAAGCTGATACCCAAAGGAGTGTTTTTCCTGCTCAGCTCGTTCCAGAACCTCAAAGTATTTTGCCAGTCTCTACCCCTAGAGGAGTAATGGAAGAAAGTCAACTGTAGGAAAGGGTGAGTAAGCAGAATAATGGTCCAGTGGAAGTTAGAGGAAGAAGAGGGAATGGGCTATATGATTGCTTCTAAAGTGAATTGCTTCCTAGGGGCCTACATTACTGTTTCTCCACCAGGCTTTCCATGAAATTAAATTTTCAGGTCAATTCAGTGACCATTTATTAAGCACCCACTATGTGCCAGGACTACAAAATTCTGGGATTCCTGGTTATAGCTTTGCTTGTGGTCTCATGTAGCTTCACTTTTCAAAGCCAGATCAAGTCCCAAAGGTGTCAGTAAGGAGGAAGTCCATTTTCCTTTCATCCTTTTTATGTGAACATTCCATTTGTAGATTGTAATTCATAGGAGATCTAAGGTGAAAACAACTCATTTCATGACATGTATAGGATCCCAAGGGATAAATTCAATTACTTCATTTTGGATGTTGTTCTTTTGGGGCAAGGATTATACGAAGTCAATAATATGACTCTCAGGTTGAAGAACTCAGATCTATTATTTCTTGTACCAAATGAGATTTTATAACTGCCCCCTGCACTTCTATGACACAGGGAACGTTTTTTTGGTCGAAAGGGAAGTGGTGGAGATGGTAGATACCAAGTAGACTTATCAGAAACAATTGTATTTTGCAAAAACATAGAAAATATATGAATATAAAAATCCTATAAACATATAGCAAATATCATAGAGATTTAGAGTGAGGTTGACTGTTTTTAGTAATGACTAGTAAACTCTCAACTTGGATTTTAATAGGATTAGAGAATTTAAGAGTTCTCTATCAGATTAACAGAACTTTATTTTAAGAGATATTAATGGCATCTGAAAATCTGGAAGTGACAATGATTATTGCAAGCTCTAGTACACTGTCTTGTTTATCTAAAAATTCAAAAGATTAGAAAAAGTGAAAAAATGATATATAAAATAAATATTTTTAAAGTTTTTATGCTTCATTGTTAAACCTATTTGTAACTTTATATCTGCTATTTTAATTCAAACAGAAAACACATAAAATCTGATATTAGAAAGTTTCATTTAATTTATCACTCTATGCTTGATCAGCATGGAGGGATAATTCCATTATAAGTTTAATCATGGAGGATTTTTACATCTGTGCATCAATTTGAGTTTATCTATTTGAAAAAATTTTTTTTGGTTTAGGGAACTGTCTGGAATTTACTCTCCCTTTCCAATTCATTTCTATTCAAATTTTAATAGGCAAGAAATTTTATTCAATTTGGATTTGTGAATTATAAATAGCACAGTGCCTACCACATGATAGGCACTTAATACATGCTTGTTAGCTGACTGGCTTATTGACTAATTAGATGAAAACTGGGTTTTGATACATTTTTTATTATGAACTATTTTATGATTAGAACAAGGCTGTGTCCTTCCCTTCTAGGCAAGAAATGAATAAGAGCAGTAAAGGATCTAAGTTTCAACCTAATAAATAATAAATCTATAGTTTAGATAGGAATATAGCTCTGTTTCCATGTAGCAGAACATTAGATTGTGGGTGTAGCAATTATAAAGGTTCAAGAAACATAGTTTCTGGATGATTTAATCATTTTATTACTAAAGCCAGAACATTATTAATAAAAGGATGATCATTTGGCTGTTTCTTTTAGACCAAAAGCCCCCCTAATGGCAGTGGGCTCACAGTTTATATGCCCTTCAAAGAGTAGGTGTGCCTGAAGAATGCCAATCAACTCTGATTGATTGGTTAACATAATGGGAGATAGGCTATATTAAAATGAGGGTCTTGGGTTACTTGACTTAGATCACCCAAATCTTGGTCAAAGAGACATCAATTTCCACATCACCTTTCTTGACAATAGGGAGAACCAGCATTTTCCCAGGACTTTGTGAGCAAACACAATGAGCAGGGGTACACCCATTAGCCCAAACTTAGAATTTCTTTTACTGTCTGATTAGATCTTGGCCTGGGTAAACCTTTAAGATAAATTTCCCACATTTCTGGTTGAGGAAGTAGAAAAGGGAGAAACCTTGGTCCTAATACAATAATTAGTTATTAAATACAAGAGAAAAATATTTATTTATCACATGGAAAATTAACTAAAATAGTAAACCTAATCAGATTTATACTTCCTTACACCAAGATGATTTTTCTAGTAGTTTATCCAATAATAACTTTCATTATTAAAAAGGCCTCAGCTAAGGTCATTTTATTTAAAAGTCCTTTTAACATGGCATTTTTTCTGAATAGTAACACATATAGATTAAGAATATAACTGTAGCAATTATTATATTTCCTTAAAAATAATGGAAGCCTAAATACTATGTAAGTAATGGGGCAATAACCAATAAAGAAGGATAAGTGAGAGAGAGAGGAGGAATAATGGAATTACAAGCATCAGTTTTGGTCTGGAATAAGAGGGTGTTTTTGATGAGAAAACTAAGTATATTGATTCAACCATCACGTACTCCAGTGATGTCTCTCTCTCTCTCTCTCTCTCTCTCTCTCTCTCTCTCTCTCTCTCTCTCTCTCTCTCTCTCTCTCTCTCTCTCTCTCTCTCCCTTCAAATTTTTGAACTCTGCTTTCTGGTAGAACTATCCTCATTGTTGGGTTAGTGAATGAAATTTCGCTTAACCCGTTGTATAGTTGGTCTCACATCTCAGGCTATGCTTCCAACCATCTACCATTCACCAGGAAATCAGGGTTTATGGGGGCATTTTGCCATTTGCTCTCATTTATCCTCGTTCCCCTTCTCACTACTGCTTTCCACCTATTACTCTTGGTCTGTGAACAGTAATCAAATCAATACTACCATTGATAACTAGAGAGGGCATGAGTTTAGTCCCTTATTAGGATATGAATTCCTTGAGGTCAGTGCCTGTTTCTCTTTTAAATTTGTATTGTCAATACCTAGCACAACATGAGTACATAGTAGGTGCTTCAAAAATTCTTTTCACAGAAATGCTTAAGATGAAGGTCATAAGGTTAGCTTTCCTAGACATCACTAAGTAGTGATATAATTATGTGTATTTCACTCAACCACTTTGAACTGAGTCAGTTTTTACCATTCGTAAAATTACTTGTACTACCTTCCTTCCAGGATTGTTATGAAGCAAGACCTTTGTAAAAACACAGTGTACTATATACATGTAAGCAATGATTATTATTATATTGAATTATATATGCATATTATATTGAATTATATTTTATTTAATTCAGCAAACATTTATTAAGCACCAAATATTTGTCAGCTGTTATGTTAGTGGCTAGGGATATTATGATAATATGAATTAGTGTACATTAACCTCCTATTTTTATTTGCTTATAATTTCATAATACGTAAAGGAAGTAAGAGGAGTAAACTTGCTAAAATCAGAAAAATCCCATGTGTGAAAATGTAAAAATAAGCAGTACTTCATAGTTTCAAAAAGGAAAAATGAGAAGTAGTTGAATCAAATTTAGAAAAGTAGTAGAATTAAGATAGTAGAATAAAAATTTATTTTTCAAGAGAAAAACTTTATCACCAGAACCTGAAAAGTCAATAAAGGTCATTTCAGGCAGTTTATTATAACAGAAAGAATACCGAAATAGGGCTAAGAGATAAACCTGAGTCAGAATCTAAGGAGTATGGTCTAAAGCAAATCACTTCTTCAGTGAGTCTTCATTTGGAAGATGAAGTGATTAGACTAGATGACTTTTAAGGTCTCAGGCAGCTTTAACATTCTAAGAGTGCATTTTTCAATTTACTTACACTAATTCTAATAACTTTTTATTTAATAGATAACAAAATAGCAAAGGTTACTCAATTCAGTGCTAGTTGCCCTCTTTTTAGGGGATAAATTGTATAAATTCAGTAGATATAAAAAGTTGAAGACTGAAGACAAGAGGTGAATACTCAAGAAAGAAACAAGATTTACTCATTTCTGGGGTAAAATAATTGCAAAGGCATACCGCAAGTTGTGACTGATGTTGTTGAATATTAAGCACATCTGAGAGTTATAAGTTTACATATATTTAAGATATAGAAGACACAATATGACTATTTATATAAAATATAGTTAAAAGGAAGTATCAGACAACAAGAATTCTGAAATTAACAAGGCAGTTTAGAGAAAACAATGGATAACAAAAGGGATAATGATTGTTTCCATGTCCCCTGCATATTGAGTGGACCCTTTGTGGAGAATTTAGAGGGAGAGATAGAGAAGAATTACAAAGAATGAGAAGTGGATGGATTGAGACCTACACAATTGGAAAAATACCCATATTGTTGGGATCACAGATCCATCAAAGAAAAATCTACCTCATAATGTATACAATTGAAATCAAATATATATATTTATAGTGTTTTATAAATCTTATCCTCATCAAGAAATATCAGTTATTCTTAATAACATTTCCCTTTATATATTCTCTTAGCCTTTTATCCTACGTATTTGTGATGTTCAGCAGTTCCTCTGGAGTCACTCTATCTTCTATCAGTATTTATCCCAGAAATATCACAGTAAGTGCCACTTATGGAAAACAAATATTTACTTTGCATTTGATGTATTTCTCAAGTTACACACACACATATGTATCTGCCAAATTGAATCAGTATTTAGAGTTTGACTTCATAATGCTTGTACAAGTAAGGATCTGAATTGGCATGAATAGACTTTTCATGGCAATGTACTCACTAGGAAACCAAAAATGAATATGGTGTTTTTTGTTGATTATAGACAGTATAGATTGACAGTAATTAATTGTGATCTGAATCACCTGTTTTAGGTTAAATTCAGCAATTGCTCATAGATACGAAACCTCCATGTTATCCATACATAAAGAAAACCAAATGAAAATGTATTTACTGACCTGAAGAAGAATCCTCTCTAGGAATTCCTGCACAGTTTGTGGTTTGGCCCTCTTACTCTTTGGGTGTGCCTTTATCTTCTTTGGTGTGGCTTCCTCTTCCAAGATTATATCCACGTAAATGAATTTGAAATTGCCCACTTTTTTATTTAGCATTCCTGTCCACATTCCCATTGGTGTTTTGCAGATAATGTCTATAATGTCTCCTTTCTAGAAGTAAAGAAATCTTCAAATCAGTTCAAACAACTCGGATGCTATGAGTCAGAGTTTATTTCATTCTAGAGTAGAAGCTGAGGCAGTAACAATGAAATCTGAAGGGAACTAAGAGTGACAGAAAAGAACCTAAGGGGAAATTTTGGGGAGGTGATAACAGGATGGTATCATCCAATAAACACAGTTGTTGTTGTTGTTGTTTTTCCATAAGACCTAGGAAAAAGTTTTACTATAAGAATGTTTATGGTAACAGCTAACAAAGCTAACAAAGATCTGTCTTGAATGTGTGTATGTATGTATGTAGGTAGGGTGTGTGTGTGTGTGTGTGTGTGTGTGTGTGTGTGTGTGTGTCTGTGTGCATGTAGCAAATACAGGCACAGTGCATATAGTAAGAGGTAGAGTAATATCAATAGCTTTTTTTTCATAAAGTAAAACACTGGAAATAAATTTTTTGAATTTTTTTTTCATTTCAAAATCAGGTACCTATAAAAAAAATGTCCTATGATGAAGAAGGGCTTTGATAACCTATAATATGTGTCAGTAGCAGCAGTGATGAAAATTAAAATGGTTCCAGCACATCTTCCTGTGATGTTAGACTAGTCACTGAATCTCTGACCCTCAGTTTTCTCATCTGTAAAATAAGAATAATACCTCTAGTAATTGTCTCACAGTGCTATTGTGAAGCTCAAATGAGATAATGCATGGAAGTGCTTTGTAAGCCTTAAAGGCGTTATATATGTTAGTTGTTATTATTATTACTGATAACTTTCTGATGTCTGATGTTTATCTCCTTGCATATGTAGCAGCTCACCCAGTGTTTTATGTGAAGTACTGGATTTCCCCTCAGAGGAAAATTTCACCTTCTTCTCTCCAAGTTGCTCCTGATCATGTGTTTTTGGTGGTGAGAGGGGCATATGTTGTTATGCCAGTGTTTCGAGTTCACCTAGTTCAATCTTTCCCAACTGGAAAAAAAAAATTCAGACCTTTCACTTTCAATTCACCATATGCAAATAGAATGGTTGCATGGAATGAATAAAATATATAAATAATATGATGAGTGTTAAATATCAGCCATATTACTCAATGCTTAACTTAGTGCATATGGCATTAGAAGCATTTCAGTGAAGATCAAGTTGAAGTGGTAAATGTTAAATGGTGAAATTTATCCAACTGTCCCAATCTGAATATGAGAGAGGGAAAAAAAACTTATAAAACTCTCATCTAGGAATCTGATGGACTCATAGTTAAAAGTGATTAATTGGCATGGCACACTCCATTGAAATAGAGTTTTAAAAATTATAAAGGGAATAGGTTGTTACATAAATATAGAGACAAATTTAGCTTAGACTGCCCTCCTATAGAATTTACTAAGTTCCCTACCTGAGACGTTTTTAATGAGAAGAGTAGGGGTCAGACTTATAATTTCATTGCTGTAGGAAAGTCCTGGGTGAAGAAACTCTCTTTACCAATGTAGGTCAGTGATTGTCCTACAACTTAGTCTTATATAGTTGCCTGGAGCACTGAGAGGTTAAAAAACTTAATATAGTCTGTGTATGGCAGAGGTGGGCCTTGAATCCAGATCTTTCTGGCTTTGAGGGAGGTGCACTTTATATATAGTGAGTTCTGCTGAAACATTTGTTTTGAAAACATGAAATTGTTCCAGTGTGATTGATGTATTAAGGAACCATTTGAGCACAATTAGAATTTTGCATTTTCTTATGCACGGTTTCGTCTGTGGGAAACAATAAGAAAGTAAAAAACTGCATCTCAGTAAATTGATCTGAGGAGGAATACACAAAATGCACACACATGCACTTCAACATCTACCAGACGACTCAATTCATTGAATGTGTTGTTTTACAAGGTTGTGTTTTTGCTGTTCTTTAACATTTGTGAAATTTTCTGTATTAAAAAAACCCAATCGTGCAAAATCCTAACACGTCTAAGCATCCTGGTTCAAAAACATCAAGTAGTGCATGCAGCAGGAAGCTTTAAGTATTGAGGAGAAACTGCACCCTTTCTGATGCCCTCTTTCATAAGGAAATTTCAGGCATTTTTCAGGGTAAAGTGCCATATTTATTGGCTATCTTCAGGTGCAGTAGGAGCTATAGGTAGAGAAGGGTTAATCCACATCCATGCACTCCACCCCTCTACTTTCTACCTTCTACTTCCTCACTTTCTACCATTGCCTCTTCTGTGTACCAGTTGTGGCCCACTGAGGCTGTCCTTTTGCCTGTGACCTCCCACTTTGACAGCCCCAGTCATGAGAATGGGGGTATGGACCAAACAGGAGCCCAAGGTTGTGGATGCCACTATTATTTATTGTAGTATTTATATATTTCTTAACCATTCAACATGTATAAAACTATGCTACCATTTTTATTAGGTTTCTATCTTTTTTTATGTTTCACTGATGAAAAGTTTGAGTGCTGTGCCCCTAGCCCCATTTTTCTCTTAAGCTCTGTAGTTTTTATTGTGTGATTTAGTGTAGCGTGGTGATTTTTAGGAGCACATATGTCTTGTTATGGCAGAACTGATTGTAAGCATTGCTGCCTCCCGCTTGAGATCAGTGGCATCGTGACTGGTCTCAGGGTGTCTAGTGTCTCTACTTGACTCACCTCCCTCTCCCCACACCCCACTTCACCCAACATGCCCCAGGTGACTAGAATGATTTGTCTATGTGTTATTGAGGGCTGTGCCGTTGGGTGGGGAGGATCATCTCTCTTAGAATCCATGAGGATTCTTTAACAATTCGTTCTGTTACTGGCTTATATTTAAATAGAATGAGGCAAAATGAAATGAGGAAGTACACAATGGCATGAAACGGAAGTGTGCACGTCTAACCCTGTGATAAACATGTAGTCTAAAACCATCAGAAGGACTATTTCAACAGAATTAATGGAAAACAAAAGGTATTTCTTAGGTGGGATGTCTGTCTGCCTAATAGCAATCAACTTAAAACAAGCAGAAGGAGCTAAGACAAGTCTAGTTTTGCTTAGTGACATTTTCCTCAGTTTCCCTGGTATTCTTTCTTGCTCCTTGTTCTTCCAGAGCTGTTTTGAATTTCAATTTCTGTTTGAAATCTTTGTCTTCATTCATTCATTCACTCATCAGATATTGCAGCCATCATGTGCCAGGTACTGTGCTAAGTATTTCCTTACTTTTTCTTTTTTTCTTAACCTCTTTAAAAGTTTAGAATTAGCAGTAGGAACTGGATATTCCCAAGCAGTTAGAGGGGCCTTCAATGACCAGAAAGTAATTCCCCTCTTCCACAAGACCCCTTACATAATTATATTACTTATAAAAGTTAACAAATAATACTTAAGGCTTTTGAATAATAAAAGCTCTCAAAAAGTATCTTGTGGAAAACCCATTCCTGGGCTTGGATAGACTGCTCCCCATGACACGTTTTGTTCAGTGTTTTCTGACCAGCCAGTTCTGCTACACCCAAAGAACCTGGCACTGCTGTGCCAAACCCGATTGTGCAGGCATGAGCATTATGATAACATTCACAACGAGAAGATTTTAGCATTTCAGTTACCTTAATTTTGAGTGAGTCAGTGTCATAGGGACTTGGTGTGAAATCTGTATGTACTCTGGCTCGGCCACAGAACGGTCCTGTGTATGGGACTTCGTCATCCAGTCTAAAGCTGTCTCTGTTACTTGTGCCATCTGAACAGCTTGTGATTCCACCTGATAAAATCAGAGATAAGATTTCATATGTAATGCTATAAATATTCTTAACCATCATCTGGGGACAAATTAAAAGGGTCATACTAAGAAATCACCCATAAACTTCTTGTGGCAGTTTTCCTTGACCTATCAACATACCTGCTAACTACACATTAGCAAATCAGCTGTTAACAATTTCTATTTCTTTCACTTATCCCTTACCTTTTCTTTTTTCTTGCAGCAACCAACCCAAAGGTTTACTCACTTATGTGTAAAGGATTATTGTTCAGATTTCCTTGATTAGTTTGATGAGTTTACATGATGGTCAGCCTTTATTTGGGACTTTTATTCTATTTCATCTAATGAGGATAGAAAATAATTGGTTTAGGCCATCATGAATCACCTGTGGATGGACTGGTCGTTGTCTCTGTATTGACATAGTCACAGAGGGACAAAAATTAACTCTCTAGTCTTTGACCTGCGCTCATTTTTTTTCTTCCAACAAAGAGCCAAGGCTAAGATCAAGAGTTCCTTTTACAGGCTGAACACAAAAGGGTGTTTTTGACTTACAGTAGTACACCAGTTCATCCCCAGCTGACTCTCAGCAGGCCAAGGCAATCACTTCAAAGTTCCTGGCAAAGACTCATTACCCTTTAAGTAAATAAATTATGTCTACTGGTCACAAGCTCCTACATTTTTGTCCATGTTCATATATCAGCATATACCAAATAAAAATAAAGGGAATGAATACAAAGTAATTAAATACAAGGCAGTTCGGGATGAAAGTCAGTAGAAGTTGGAGGGTGGGGATGGGATCTAGAAAGGCTTTGTGTATAAAGTTAGTCAACAAACATTTGTCAAGCACCTTCTATGTACCAGGCCCTGTTGTAAGCACCTAGGATACAAAGAAAGGCAAACATATTGTTCCTGTCTGAAAAAAAAATCCCAAACCTGACAGTATTAATTAGTGAAACAATATGTCAACAACTGGGAGGTGAGGATTAAGTGTAACCTCTTCCAGAAGATGGGATTTAAGCTGAGTCTTAATAAAGTCAGGGAAGCTAGGATGCTGATGTGAGGAGAGCATGTATTCTGGGCACAGGGACAACCAAGGAAAAGGCAAGGCATCTATAGATGGAGGACCCTGTTCAAGGAACAGTAAGGTCAATATTGCTGTATCTTAGGAGCAAAGTACATCAAAACTGGAAAGGTAAGAGGTCCAGGTTGTGAAGGACTTTTAAAAGCCACAGAGAGGGTTTTATATTTGATTCTGAAGTTTATTGAGTATTTGGGTAACATAGTCAAACCAAAACTATATTTTAGTGAAAATCACTTCGACAGTTAAGTGCATAATAGCCTGGAGTGGACAGAGTCTTGAGGAAGGGAGGCCAACCAGAAGGCAGTAGTCTAGATGTGAGGTGATGAAGGTCTGTCCTAGGGTAACAACTATGTAAGTGGAAAGAAAGGGACGTATTGGAGAGGTAGTATGAAAGTAGAAATGACGGGACATGGTGATAGACTGACTATGCCTGAGTTGAATCTTTAAAAGAAGAGAAGGATATTATGAGAAAGAGGTGAGGAGGCAAGACATTTGAGGCAGGGGGACAGCCAATTAAAAGGTGTAGAGTTAGAGTGGTATGGGTGAATAATGAAAAAAAAGCCACAGTTTAAGATAATTGCTAACATTCTCTATTTTATTTAGTATGTATTTAAACTTGCGTATGCAACAAAACTGTTTTGAATATTAATTTTCTTTCTTTCTGTTTTTAGGCACTTGGAGTTCAGTGACTTGCCCAGGGTCACACAGCTAGTGAGTGTCAAGTGTTTGGTCTGAAGCCAGATTTGAACTCAGGTCCTCCTGACTTTAGGGCCAGTGCTCTATCCAATACGCCATCTAGATGACCCTGAATATTAATTTTCAAGACAAAATGGTACCATAACATTATAAGTTTTTGAAACAACACATATGTTTCATAATCTGTCAGGTATAATTTTTAACAGTAGAGACTTGATGTAGAGTCAACACATTTTAATTTTTTGCTATTTGTATTACCAAATATCTGTGATTTTCATAGCTAATTAGATAAATAAAATTACCTCCACATAAATAAAGCTATTAAAAAAATGAACATCTCAAGATTATCATGTTCAGTATTTCTTATATGTTCCTTTGAACTTACTGGATGTACTTTGACCACTGTAGATACTGTCCATAGAGTCACTGCCTTTGAGAGGAAATTTCTCAGTGTAGGCTGCAACTCCTGGGTCACTGTTTCTGTATGAGTAAGCATCTTCTTCATCCTCTTCATCCTTTGTTTTCAAATATCACAGTGTAAGTACAAAGGAAAGTATTTCTATTGAATACTCTCTCTCTCTCTCACACACACACACAGCCTATATGCATCAAATAAGTCATATTTTAGCATCAGCATATTTAAGACTATAATAACAGCACAAAACATGACCATCATTAAATACCTAATTAATTTCTATTCCTAGAAGAAAAATTTAGAGTGCATTTGGGGAAAAAACTTTTAGGTGGAACCATTGTGAAATTCTACTTAAATCATGATGGTGCAGAGTTACAATTTAACACCAACATATTGTCAAATATATTTTAGAAAAGTAAAATGGGTCGCAGTCATATCTCTGATGAAACTACATTTAATTGAGCTGCTTATGATGCTTCATTTTTGCTATTAATCTGTTTACCAATGTAATTTGTCATCTGGGAATTCAAAAAAGGTTTAATCTTTTCCTAAGTGTTTCATCTCAAAGCTATTTGCAATTAAGAAACACTGTTTATCTAAGAATCTTTAAAATTTTTATCCCTTCCTTGCTTCTACTCAGAATCTTAGACCTTTTACAGGGAAAATCTAGTGTTGCATAATTGAAATTGGGAGAGGTGAGCTATTTCAAAATATGTTTCCTTTTTCTTGAAATTATCTCAAGTACTTTACAGACATATGCAACTTGTATAAAGCATGTTGACTTTGTGATGTCTATCCAGACATAATTTCATCTCATAGAACATACACATACATATTTTATACGGACCATTTTGAACGTATTCTTTGAGCAGTGGCTGGGTGAGGGATGTTCCTTTAGTGCTTTCACCCAATTCTGCTTTTACATAGATTGATTGTAGCTATACAGTCATCTGACTGAAAGGCACTATTAAATACCCAGTCAGCAAAATAGCTTCCAGCTCTTAATGCACATAAAAAATTATGTCCAGGGAACCTGGAAAATGTATCACAGAGACTACGTAGGGTGTCCCAAAAGCCTTGGTGCAGTTTTAAACCATTAAAGCTTAAGTGGAACCAAGGCTTTTGTGATATCCCGTAATAATATTAAAAGAGTGCTGATTTCTCTATGGCCCCACCCTCTATTTGTAGCTCCACTTGTGTGCTAGGCCCAGAGCTTTTGTGGTATGATGATAGGCAAGGAAATCTTCCAGCAAAGTGGAAGGACAAAAAGTAAAACCTGAGCACTGGATTCGGAAGCTGTCTCTGAAACTTACTAGCAGTATAGCCAAAGGCAAGATATAGCACTTCTCTGAGCCTCAGTTTTTAAAATCTATGAAATGGGCTAATAAAAATACACTGCATAGCTATTGTAAGCAAAGTTCTTTGTAAACCTGGGTGCATTATATAATTATGGGTTATTATTATTAAATGAATTTATAATCTAGAACAGCTTGCTACCTGGGATGAACACTTTCACTAGTAATTGAGAAACACCTGTTTTACTCTCTCCTTTACTGTGAGATTTTAGGCAAGCCACTTGGCTTTCCTCAGCTTCAGTTACCTTGATAACTGGAGACTATAATGAGAAAATAGATGTGAAAGTACTTTATGAAGCACAAAGTACTGTAGATGGTATTATTAGTATTTTATTATCAACCACTGTAAAAAAAAATCATCAGTAGTCAAACTGTTGTTGTATAGGCTATACTTACCTTGTCCTCAGAAAGGGCTTTGATGTACTTCTTACCAATTTTTTTCTTCATGGTCCAGGAAATAGCCCTCATTTTTTTGCCTAGACTTCCGCCATTATTTGGAGTTTTAGTCGGTTCTTGCTCTCTACCTTCATTTATCCCTTCCTCTTCACATTTCTAAATAGAAGCATTATTAAATACCATAATTGTAAGGCAAAGAACCTTGATATTAAAGTAATACCTAGAAATTTTAGATTATATATAGTAGTATGTATATTTTTATGGATAGTCTCCAGAATTTCAAGCAATAGACTTGTTTTCCAATCTGTGTATTATAAGTAGTGCAACCATAGTTGTCTGTACAAAATCTCAAAAATTAGAGCTTTGAATATTAACTTAATGGTTTGAATATCACTTGAATGACCTTATAGTCAGAGATTGAAGTTAGCTAATTCATGGATTGGTCATTTCAACATTTTATGCATTTTAGATGGATAAGTTAAATTCTAGGCAGATTACAAAGTAAGCATGTATATGTATGTGAGAAATGGGAGATATTTCTAGAATGAGACGGGGAAGCTGATATTCATTATGAAAAGGTAGTAAAGATATATGGCTCTTTCTTACATAGCTCAAGATAGTTTTGACATTCATTGATTAAAAAGTGAGATTCAGCTAAAAACCTATCACAAATCATTGCCATTTCCCCATTACACTAAGAAAGGGTGACTCAACAAATGTGTAATGGCACATGTGGTTCCATGAAAATGAATCTTAGAGGTGGAAGGGATGTTAGAGATTGGAGTTTATCATCCTTCTTAGTTTAAGAATTAATTCTACCCTGACAGATGGTTGCTTGTCCTTATTTGAATACCTACAGTGGCAGGGATCTTCTCTTTAAAGAGACATCTAGAGAATGACAAGAAGAAGTTTCAAAGACATAATGAGCAGCATTATTGAGAGATTAAAGTTTTCCATATGATTTACCCTAAACTGGCTGTGTTGCATGTTATAGAGGAGTCAGCAAAATCCAACAAGGTAAACAAATATCTATCTTACTAATTCTTATATTCTTGATTATACTCTGAAGTTATTCTAATGGAAAATATTCATAGGCTCTTTCAAAAGCCCTGGATAAATAGCAGCTAACATTTATATAGAGTTTTAAGATTTATGTAAAATATGTGATATTTTACAAATATCTCATTTTAGACTTATAACAACCCTGATGGGTAGGTGCTGTTATTATGTCATTTTACAAATCAGGAAACTGAGGCAGAGAATGATTAAGTGACTTGCCCAGAGTCACAAATCTAACAAATGTCAGAAGCGAGACTTAAATTCAGGTTATACTGGCACCAGGTTCAACTGTACCTGTTAGGACAATTTCATACTTGAGAATTCAATTTTTTGTTTTTCAATTTTGTTTTCTCATAAGTAAATTATTTAACATCTAGTAAAAATAACAGAAAGCAGATATATTAAAACACTGAGGCGTTCCTACTTCTAACTTTCACCAGCTTAATCTTCAGAGATATTTTCTGATATATTAGAAGTCTATATTTTATATAAAATTTTGGACTTCTGAAACTTCCGACTTGCTACACTTTATTTTAGTAGTAGTAAAGCTATTCTTACTCATTAATTATGTTTTTATCATTCCTTTATTGTCTGAACGACTTACTTGGAACTTATATAACAACTTGTAAGTTATCTTTTTACATACATGTTCTATCTCCACAAATGTATTGTGAGTTCTTTTGAGGGCAGGGACTATGTCTTAAAGCTGGAAATAAGATGGGATGATAGGGCTTTGTTTCAGATTAGAAAATTAAGAGATACTGATGCAATTGTATTCCTCTAAGAGAAGAAGGCAGTAGTAGAGCCTGATAGCATAGCAGAGCTGTTAGAGGGTTGGAGCTTTGTGTAGGACCTTGAGAATCATCCAGAGAATTGCTAAGAAAGTTGATCAATTGTGGCTCCCTCATCCTTTGGGTCAAGATGGGGAGAGAGCAGAGGCCTGGTAGTACCTGAGCTCCAGCATGGTTTAGGGAAGAAGAGAGGTTCCAGCGAGCACATGTCGTGTGTGGGGGAAAGAGAGTGGATATATCTACTGTCTCCCACACGTGTTGCGCCCCACCCAAAACTAGGGTGGGCACAATTCCCTTCTCCCCCTGGAAAAGTCTATTGGATTATCATCCTTGGGAAGGGTGAATTTGGGGTCAGAGTGTACCAAGGACAAAGAGGTCTCTCTATTCATTCACTTTGCTTGAGTCATCATGTCATTGTTCAGGAGGGTCTTCATTTGGAATCCAAATGAGGCTTAGCCATATCTCAGAAGATCAAATTTCAGACAAATTAGCTAAAAGAGCTCTAGACTAAGAATCAGGAGCCTTGGGTTCTGGTGTCTGCTCTAAAAGTCTCTATGTAAAATAAGGGACTTGTACAAGGTAGTCTTCAATTTTAAAAGCTTGGATATTCTCTCATGATTTTTTGAGAGTTTTATGAGAGTTTGCTCCAAGCACTCTTCCAGCCCCTTGACCCAAAGGATCTGTCTCTTCGCTATAAGGATACCCATCCAAGTGAGAAGAAACAATTGAATTTAACATGCAGTTATCAAGAATGATTATTTGGAATAGGAAGTTAGAAGTCAGCATACTTCTTCTCCTGGGTTGGCCTACCAGAGTGGGGAACTTGTGGCTTCGAGGCCACATGTGGCCCTTTAGGTCCTCAAGTGTTTCCCTTTGACTGAATGCAGACTTCACAGAATTAATCCCCTTAATAAAAGGATTTGTTCTGTAAAATTTAGACTCAGTCAAAAGGCCACGTCCAAGGACCTAGAAGGCCACATGTGGCCTTGAAGCTGCAGGT